TATCACAGATCCATGCTCATGTGATTTGTAATAGGCATTTTGATAAACCATAATTCCCTTTTAATGCTAATAAATGAACCATGTTTTGGTGATTAGGCATCTTACTTTATTAAATCAAATATCATTGCAATCCTAGGCCAGATCCAGCAATGATTTATGCACATGTTTATCTCCAGTCACGTGTATTTGCAGGAACATTATGTAGCCAAGCCTGTAAACTCAACCATTTCTTTCTCTTGCAGGGCAACCTTGGCTTAAAAAAAAAAAATACACTTCTCTGAACAATTTACCTATGATTGCTGCAAAGCAGCACTTGAAAATTACTTCACTTCAAGCCCATTTAATTTGGGAAGGGAGAGAGAAATTCTACAGTTGAAGATGGAAAAAAGGCAACATTTCTCTGGCAACAGAAAGTAACATTTCTTTGGCAAAAGGGGATGTTTGCATCCATTCAGAGCTTTGGACTGTTAGAGTAGTCGTAGCAGAAATGGATTAATGGTCAGAGTGCAGGTGAGGTATGAATGCATATCATATGGCTCTGAAATCTGTTACATGGCTCTTCAGTTTCTCACATTGGCTGCAGTCACATATTATGTCTGTTTCACTTTCTGACCATTATAACTCTTAGGGAAACAAATGAGAATACCCATATGTGTTAAGCTCCGGCTGTAAGTACTTGCAGTGATATCACCACCACAAATTAAATCAGTCTAGGTTTTGAAACTTCAGAATGATTTTGTTTTCCCCTTAAGGTATCATTGGGTGTCTCTACACGTGCTCCAGGGCTGGGAGCCACTCTAATTAAAGCACCCAGTGTTTCCTGTATCACTTCAAAATGGCAGCAGAGGTGCTTTAACTAAAGCTCTTTTGACAACCTTTATTTAAAGCACCCTGCCACCATTATGAAATGCAGGGACACTGATACATGAGACACGGAAGCTGCTGGAGCACGCTAATTAGCACAATCCAGCAGACTCAATTGATTGAATCTGCTCCGATGCACTGTAATTACAGCAAATCAGAGCAGCGTCTCCTCATGTCTACAGGCACCCACTGAGGCCAAATTTTTAGGAGAAGAGCAGGGGGAACATTTCTTAATTTAAAAGCAGTTAAAAAGTTAAAGTCAGCAAGTCCTGGAACATGTCTTTGTAACTACAGCTCTTCAGTTTCAGAAGGACCCTCAAAGATCACCTAGTCCAGGGGTGTCAAATTTGTTTGGCCACCTGGCTGGAACCATACTGTAGTACCCCTCACAGGTCAGATTAAGACTGACCTCCAGTGGTGGGTGAGTGGCAATGGTCTTGTGTTGACTCAGGGAGCTGTGGGGATTAATGCAACCCATTGCTTATCCCCTTGCTGCTAAAATGGGCTCTGCATCCCAGAATTCAACAGTGGGCCTCACCCCTGCTTACCCTGCCCCCAAATTCCCAGCCCCTCCAGGAGCCTCATAGGCTGGATGATATGGCTCTATGAGCTGGATCCAGCCCACAGGCCATATGTTTGAGACCCCTGATCTAGTCCAACTGCCTGTACAGATGCAGGATTTATTATTCCTAAACCATCCTAGCTGGATGCTTCTACAATTCCACAATTCCGTAGACAATAGATATCCTTAATTAGTACATCTTGAAATATTGTTCAAAAAGGCAGAGGAAAAAAAACTTGTGTGAATACATCAAAACTGCTGACTGCAAATATTTATAACTAAACTACTGCTTGATTTTAGTTTAGGTAATTTCTGAGGTGTATAACTATAAGAAGAGTATATTATAGTATCACAAGGTAAATATATATCTGGGGATTGTGAGAAGTGCTTCTATACATCAAAATAAATTAAACAGATGAATGAACAGCTGCAACTCCCTCTGATTTCAATTAATGTTGGAAGCACTTGAAATTACGTACTTAAATATGTTTTGGTCTTTTAAAAAATATGAGTGTGTGAGGTTTACAAATATACAATGACTTTTGCTAGTGTTGGGTGTTATGACACCGTCTTCACCATAAGCCCGATCCTGGAAACACTGTGATTGCTGAGGGGTTCAGATTTTCAAGCAGAGAGTAATTATATAGCATAATGTATATTTAGTTCTGATCTTGCATTTTGTAATAGATAGGTGGCTTTTCATGGCTAGACTGCTAATTGCCCTACAATAGGCAACAGCCATTTTGCACAAGCTGGCCTTCACTGTTACAATGTTGTCTTTTTCTGCATGCATTGATAGGTGTTTTAATATTTGTACAGCTTTTTGTCACCTTTTCAAGCTGCAGAATGAAATAACTCAGCTTGGTCAAAGGCAGTGGGGAGATAGGTGCTAGGACTGGCTACCTTTGACCCTTCTTCTCTCAGAGGAGGCCTGGAGAGAGATCTAGCTGTTGCTGTTTCTCTCTGTGACCATACAGGGAGAGAGACTGCTGCCAAAGCCTCCTAGCCCAGTCCCAAACCCTGCCAAAACCTGAAGTTTGCAGCTGGATCAAATGGATCTGCAGGCTGGGCCAGAGCCATGAGCTGCCAACCCCTACCTTTAAACCTCAGGGCCCAGCTACGCATTCAAATTAAAGCTGGATAAAAACCAGCTATAGAATTGTTACATGTTTTCAAGCACTAACTTTGTAGCTGGTTGGATCTTTTTATAGCTTGAAAGTCATTTTATGGTGTGATAATTACTTTGCACATGTGGCTGGTCTAAATGTATTGTGCAATTAACAATTGAATTGTGTAATATATGTAAGACGTAGCAGGGCCCTCACTAAAATCAGTACCCCAAATAAACAGTGTAGGTGCAGACAGAAGTGCAGCTCCTGGGTCTAAATCACGATGCTTCACAGAAAGTGCCGTGAGTTAAACCAGTCCTCCCAACCCAACAGGCTTTAGCTCTTGGGTAGGGGATAGAGCTCCAGCCCCCTCTCCCAGCTCCTGTTCTGTCTCAGGGTGGGAGGGAGAGAAGGCAGGAGAGGGAAGTCTGTTTTGGGGCTTCCCCAGCCGTGCTAGAGTGTGTGTGGGTGAATTGGAGCTCCCCCCACCTTTGGGGGTGGGGCTCCAATGCACCTGCCCTACCCTTCAGCGCCGGCTGGGCAGCCGCCACAATGAGTTCCCTCTGCTCCCTTCCCCTCTGCCATTCTGAAAACAGCGCCAGGAGCAGGGTTGAGCTGCATCACCTAGCCCTGCTCCCAGCATGTATAGATACAAGTAAATGAAGGTGCTCCACTTCGGAGCGCTTTCATCTGAACCCTCATGTAATGAGGGTTCAGATTGTTGCAGGATTAGGACCTTTTAAAGTGCTCTGCATCAGTGCACTTGTATTTGGTCATAGCTTTACGGAATTTTCACAGGCCAGATTGGGTAAAAATCATCACTTCTGTCTGCGCCTTGTGTGACCGTGAGCATGCACTAAAGGCACAGACAGAAGAGCAGCTCCCCGCTGTAACTCATGGCACTTCCTGCCAAGCGCTATGAGTTACAACATTCCCCCAGACCCAACAGAAATTTGCTGTTGGGTCCCAGGGGTTGGGGAGTCCTGCAGCTGCTCTCCCCTAGCAATGGCCTTCCTCCCTCTTTCTCCATTTCTACTGGGAGGGGGAAAGGGAGCAGGGGGAGCTCATTCTGGGGGGTTCCCCAGCTGGCACTGGAGGATGGGGTGGGGAGATTGGAGGCCCCCCAAGGTGGGGGG